GTACTGAATGTAAATAGCTGGCAATCCACAACAATATCACTCCAACACCTTATCCAAAACAACAAGATCCCATAGAGGGTCGATGGAAGGATAGTCTAAACCTTTGGTTTTCGACCGCTACAACCCAGGTTCAATTCCCACATTGGGCACTTTTTTCTGTTTAAAAAAATGCTCCAATGGCCCTCCGATTTTTGCCAAAGTTCAACCCCACCAGCGAGTGTAAGTAACCAAAAGGGTTCTGGCACATTTGTAAATGCAAAGTTGAACTGCTTTTCACATGTGTAGACATGTGGTGCACTTACAGTAAAAGCAGTTGCCTACTTCTACCCACCATGATTATCATGGCCTGTACCACATGTACTAGGGATAAGCAAAAAAAAAAAACAACAAGATGCCATCAACAAAACCAAAGCTACCATTAAGCCACTGTAGACAAACTCACCAATTCATTTATTTAACCTTCCTACAATTTCTCCACTCAACAATATATATTATAATACATTAGCATGCCATCTGTTATCAGAATTCAAAACTATTATAGACACGTTTGGATTATCTATATATATATATAAATCAATGTTTGTATGTTTGTTTGCATGTCCGGTATACAAATTCGCAGTAGTTCACTAATTCAAACCAAAATTTCCATACATAGGTAAAAAAATACGGGGAAGACGATAGGCTATTTTAAAAAATATATAAATCAATTATTAAAACTATATATTCAAATTATTCTACTTAGCTCACGAACAGTGCCCTCTATCAAAGATTAAATTAAATTATGCTGATGCAAACAAATAGATAATGCTAATAACAAACAATTATTTTAAAAAAATCTTATCTAAATATATATCACTCGGGTAGATATGCACACGGGTCAATCCTGGGGCGAAGCCTGGGTCACCCATCTAGTAGATTATAAACACAAGATAATAAGACCAAATCTAAATATATAATTTCTCATTCAATACTTTTGTCTGAAGATGGTAACAACACTGTTACCAAAACATCACACACTATTTATATATTTGGTCTTATTACCTTGTGTTTATAAAAAAAAAAAAAAAAAATTCTACTGCCTTTACTGCAATGAAAAATTAATGGGAGGGCCTGGCTCATCATGGTAGATTAAACGGGAGAAACTGCTGAAAGAGGGTTTACCACTGATGAGCCAAGCACTCCAATTAATTTTTTTCATTACAGTAAGGGCAGTAGATAATTTTTTATATATATATTTTTTAAAGAATCATACGTGTCTATAATAGTTTCCAATTCTCAGTAACAATATAAAGTAAATAAGATACAATTTGGATTATAGATTATAAACACAAGGTATAAGACTAAATACAAATATATAAATAGTGTGTGATGTTTCTGTAACAGCGAAACTTCAGTACTTTTGTCTGACGATGGTAACAATGCTGTTACAGAAACGTCACACACTATTTATTTATTTGGTCTATTTACCTTGTGTTTATAATCTAAAGTAGATTGAAACAAAAGAAAAGAGAAAATTAATAAAGAAAAATAAAGACATCATCTTCATTTTGTTATAATTTTATTAACAGAGGAAATAGGTAAGGAAAGGGGAAGAAGATGAGGAGAAAAAAAAAAAAGAATTTAAAATAAAAAAAGAAAAAGATAAAGAATAAGAATTTGGGATAGCAAGGGGAAAGAGGGAAAAGTTTTAAACAGAAAGGGAATAAAGAAAAGAAAGGAAAAAAATTATTAATAATAATAATAAAAGAAAGAAAAGGGGGCACAATTTACAATGGTTGAGGAATAAAAAAAAAAACACCATAATTTATTACAAATAATAATAATAATATTTTAAAAATATATGGAGAGAGAAATATAGAGGGGTGGTGTGGAATAAAGATCAACAATCTATAAGATATATATAATAATTAATTAATTTATAAAAAAAAGGAGGATTATACGTAGGAGGAATTAAGGTAGAGGGGGGAGAGAGGTGTACCAAAATAGCTCTGGCTTATGTACAAGCTATGTACAGTTGTTGGGGAGGTTGTTCAGTGGATGCCGTTGGTGAGCCACTGGTAGCCATCATACAGTTTGGTGGTGAAAGAGTGGAGGGAGGACTCTACCATGGTATCCACCAAGATACGCAGCTGCTCCTCAGTCCGGCCCAGGTGGAACCTCTCTCTCAGCTGGCAGACTACGGCCCCGGGGGAGCTGGTGCGGAAACACGGCAGCTGGGCGCTGGAGGCCTCCACCAATGTCAGCAGCTGCTCGTGGTGCTTACGGGCGGCCACTAGGCCCTGTAGGATCAGGATCTTGAAGTACTGGAACATGTCCGACTCCAGGCCTCCCATCACCTGTGGGGACAGTCCATGTTGTTGTTAAGGGTTGTTCTTCTCTTTATCTCCACTCAATCATATTAAGGTATCAACCCTGTAGAGTGTGACAACCATCTTTCTTTTTTTTTTTGCTTATCCCTAGTACACGTGGTACAGGCCATGATAATCATGGTGGGTAGAAGTTGCAGACTGCTTTTACTGTAAGTGCCCCACATGTCTACACATGTGAAAAGCAGTTCAAATTTGCACTTACAAATGTGTCAGAGCCCCGTTTTGGTTACTTACACTCGCTGGTGGGGTTGGACTTTTGCAAGAATCAGGGGCCATTGGAGCATTTTTTTTGACAACCATCATGACTGGGTGAAGTAGAATGTGTCTGCCTTTGTCATTAAGACTGGGAGCATTACTCAGTAGCAAGCAAACTTAGCTCCAATATGAATTGGCCACTTCTGACATGAGGAACAGACGTCATGTACAGCCACTCCTAACATGGAGTACATCCTGTATCCCTGGAGCCCTTACAGAATTTAAAGGTTTGTGCAGGTTGGTAGTTATACTTAGTGTAACCTAGTGTAAAAAAAAAACAAAAAAAAAAAACCTTACGACTATAATAGGTTTGAACGTAAATTACACTAATGAATTGAAAATTCTAGCTTCAAAATTTGTATAATTTAGTATAATTAAATATTCTATATTTTATCTAGCCTGTACCACGCTGACGTGAAACACATACAGACTGCCAGATAGGATGGCTTTGCACTATATAAATTCATTGTTGTTGTTTTCTCTTGGCCGGCTCAAATCTTTTTGTACATATGTAAATATGTAATATTTTATTTTCTTAATTCTTCACGCCTTAAGTAAGGTAGTACTTTCTCTAATTATTTATTTTATAGGGGGTCGGTGGAAGGCTAGTTAAACCGTTTGGTTTTCGACCACTACGACCCGGGTTCGATTCCCGCATTGGACACTTTTTATGTTTAAAAAAAATGCACCAATGGCCCCCCGATTCTTGCAAAAGTCCAACCCCACCAGCGAGTGCAAGTAACCAAACGGGGCTCTGGCACATTTGTAAGTGCAAAGTCGAACTGCTTTTCACATTGGAAGACATGTGGTGCGCTTACAGTAAAAAAAAAGCAGTCGCTAACTACCCACCATGATTAACATGGCCTGTACCACGTGTACTAGGGATAAGCAAAAAAAAAAATTATAAGTGCTCACAATTAAAACAAATCTATAAAATGGTTTTTATTATATTTTCAAAGATACCCCATGATTGCAAACCATTGGCTAAATGCTCATTGAAATTTCAAAATCTCAGCAAATAATTCCAGAAAAATTTATCATAAACATGTATAGTTTGAGTCAAAAGGCGATCCATTATATATATTTATTTAGAAAAAAAGATGTACCTGGATCTGTGAAAAAAAATTTTTTTTTTTTCTCTCAAAATATTTCGAGGGATTGCACCCTTTTTATTTAAATTTTTAATATTATCATTTATTATTTTTGACGGGGGGGTCGATGGAAGGCTGGTTAAACCGTTTGGTTTTCGACCACTACGACCCGGGTTCAATTCCCGCATTGGACACTTTTTCTGATAATAAAAAAAATGCTCCAATAGCCCCCGATTTTTGCAAAAGTCCAACCCCACCAGCGAGTACAAGTAACCAAACGGAGCTCTGGCACATTTGTAAGTGCAACTGCTTTTCGCATGTGTAGACATGTGGTGCACTTACAGTAAAAGCAGTCGCTAACTACCCACCATGATTATCATGGCCTGTACCACGTGTACCTAGGATAAAAAAATATATTTTTGACCAATGGCAAAGTTGTTTCCATGTGATCTACAAGAATTAAAGAGCAAATCCCTCAAAATATTTTGAGAAAAAAAAATTTTTTTTTTTTTTTTTTCATTTACAGATTCAGGTACACCCTTTTTATATAAACATAACATATATATAGAAAAGAAATAAAAAAGACATCTCCTTATCGGACAACTGAAAGTTGCTGATGGCTTATGCCATCTAACAGAATAAATATAAACTATTTGTCAATTTTTTTTTATTATTCAAGAAAATTGGCCAAATACCCATTCATGATTAATCAAGAAAAACTAACCATGTACATGTTTCGGGCTGTTGGCCCTCATCAGCATGGTGCAAGCTGTACCTCAACAACCAAAAAACGCTGATGAATAGTTGATACTTATTTCCAAAGATAGTGCAAGCCATCAGCAACTTTTAGTCACCCGATAAGGAGATGCCTTTTTTTTTTTTTTTCTTTTCTTAATTTATCAGTGATAAGGCACAATTTGGATTATAGATTATAAACACAAGATTATAAGACCAAATCCAAATAAATAAATAGTGTGTTGACGTTTCAGTAACAACGTCATGAGCCTTATCCCAGTACAATATCACATTTGCACTATTTTTTCACATTTTTTTTTTTTGCTTATCCCTAGTACACGTGGTACAGGCCATGATAATCATGGTGGGTAGTTAGCGACTGCTTTTACTGTAAGTGCACCACATGTCTACACATGTGAAAAGCAGTTCGACTTTGCACTTACTAATGCCAGAGCCCCGTTTGGTTACTTGCACTCGCTGGTGGGGTTGGACTTTTGCAAGAATCGGGGGCCATTGGATCATTTTTTTTTTTTCTTTAAACAGAAAAAAATGTCCAATGCGGGAATCGAACCCGGGTCCTAGTGGTCGAAAACCAAACGGTTTAACCAGCCAAATATCCACATAGATTGAAAAATTTACATGCCAAATATCCACATAGATTGAAAAATTTACATGCCAAATATCCACATAGATTGAAAAATTTACATGCCAAATATCCACATAGATTGAAAAATTTACATGCCAAATATCCACATAGATTGAAAAATTTACATGCCAAATATCCACATAGATTGAAAAATTTACATGCCAAATATCCACATAGTTTGAAAAATTTACATGCCAAATATCCACATAGATTGAAAAATTTACATGCCAAATATCCACATAGATTGAAAAATTTACATGCCAAATATCCACATAGATTGAAAAATTTACATGCCAAATATCCACATAGATTAGAGAGAGCATGCATTTTGTAATAAATAAAGATATAAATAATAGGTTTGAAAACATGGAATTAGATATAAATGGGAAGGTACACAACCAACCAGGCTTGTAGGTGAGAATGACAAGGAGCACTCACCTCAACAAACTCATTGGTAAACTTGAAGGGGGAGTTCTCAAAGCCCAGGTTCTTGGGAGAACAGGAGAGGATGAAGCCAAAGTCAATGTGAAGAATGTGGCCCTCGGCATCCAGTAGAATGTTGCCGTTATGCCTGGTCACATTGTTCTGTTAAGCTAGACACAACTAAACTGATTGAATAAATTTATCTGATAGGAAATATCTTTTTACTGGTGGCTGCTGATTCCGTTTTCTCTGGAATTCTCCCTGGAACTAAGAGCGACACAATTTGAGGCTTCTACATGGCGACATCCTATCTTATGGTGATATAACCAGAGTTGTTCTTGATTAAACGTGGCAAGTGTCACAACCACTGATGAGCCAGGCCCTCCCATTATTCTATCATTGCAGTAAAGGATAGTTGAAAATGATTTTATTTCAAAAAGAATCATGCGTGTCAAAAATAGTTTAGATTCTTTATCACAGAAAAAAAATGTAACCGTTCAATGATAAGTTTACAATTTGGATTATTCTAGATTTAAAAAACAAGGTAATACAACGGCCAAATATAAAAAAAATAGTGTGTGATGTTTAAATAACATTCTGTACTTTTGTCTGATGATGGTAACAACACTGTTACAGAAACATCACACACTATTCATTTATCTGTGTGGATTTGGTCTTATTACCCTATATTTGAAACCGTTTTAATTTTTGAATGAGAATCGACTAATCTTTTAAATCTAAGAAGAGTTATTGTTTCTTATCCCTTTGTGCAAAAATAACACAAATTCCATGATCTCATGGAATGGAGTGCAGCTTTAGTTGATCATGGCACCATGACCCAGGCACACTCGAGTAAAAGAGGCAGGTGTAACTGGATCCTTAGAATAAAAGGTAACCAACCAGAAGAATGCTAATTCTCTAATAATAAAAGCCACATCTATGAAACAGAAGACCATAACCCCATATTTCAACAAAAAAAACTAGAATCAACCATAAGAAGGCAACTCTCAAGACAAAAAGATCAATCCTTATATTGTTTCTTATCCCTTTGTACAAAGATTATACTAAATCCCATGTGTCCATGCTTCTCGAACTGTTTGATGATAAGCAGCGGCCTCTCCCAAAGATCCTGTTTAGTGCATCCTATGCAAGCCAAAATGTGTTCTGGAGCTATACAAATACAGTTAAACCTGTCTATAGCGCCCCCTCTAAATAGCGCCTTCCCATCTATAGCGCCCGATTTTAAATACTAAGATGTGATTTACATTAAAAGTGACCTGTCTATAGCACCCCCTCTCTATAGCACCCTATTTTGGTGAGTCCCAAGAGCTATAGACAGGTTTAACTGTATATAAGAGTAAAATACAAATAAAAAGTTATTTTAAAATAACTACGAGGCAATAAGACCAAATCCAACTAAATCAATGGTGTGTTAACTCTTTCCTGCACAACTGACCTGTCCTTGACCTGGAGGAGATAGGAGAAGAGGCTGTAGGCAGCGCAGCTCTCCACAAAGTTGCGCTGCGCTGAGAGGAAGCCCTCTGAGGTGGGCTCCCCAAACTCCTGGATGAAGTACTGTAGGAGGGATAGCCCCTTGCCGTTCTTCTTGATCTGGTGGAGGGAGACCGTGTTGAGGATGGGCTCGATGAGGCCGGAGTCCCGTGAGAGCACCAAGATGGCGTAAGGACGTAGCCAGAGGGGCACGCGCTCTGCCGTCCAGGTCCTGCGCAAGGCTGCCAGCAGCTGACTGGCCAGCAGGTCCTGGCGCAGGTCGTCCCCACACTTGACAATGGCCGCCTCCAGCCTCCAGTTCTCCAGGTGACCGTACGGGGACTCTGCTCGGATCCTCACCACTTTCAAGTCCCAGGGTTCTTTCAAGGCAGCGGCGGAGGGGTCCTCGGGATCTCTCTGTTCCACACACAACCATTTCTTTCTATTTAGGAATACTAATTAATTTAAAATTTTATTTTGTTTAAACGCAAGTCTCTGCAGGAATCAACAAAAAATTTAAAGGAGAGACCACCACCAAATTTGCAGTATACAGTAAAACCTTGAATAGAGTGAAACCCATTAGGACTGAACTTTCAGTTAACTATAATGTATCCCTAATATCCAGGAGATGGGAGGTTGATTAGAGGAAGCAAACAGAAGAATGGCACTAGGAAGAGACCCAAAAATGAAATTGAATAAAGATGAAGGTATAGCATTCTGGACAAAGAAGAGAATAGTAGAGACATTGGTATTCCTTGTGGTCATTTATGGATGTGAGGACTGGACTCTCAGAAAAGAAGAAAGAATTGAAGCCTTTGAAATGTGGAGATGGAGAAGGCTATTGGAGAGTGCCATGGACAAATAAAAGGATAAATGTTTCAATCTTAAATGAAATTAATCCTGTTATAGATCCCTAGAATCCCAAATATGTAAACAAAGACTGATCTACTTCAGACACAATGAGAGCACAAATAGATTAGAAAAGAGGTTGATGTTGGGGAAAATTGAAGGAATAAGGAAGATAGGAAGACCTGCAATGAACTGGCTAGAAAGGGCCAAGAAAGCTACCAAGAGGACACTCATGCTAAAAGACACCTCTCTAGTTTTTAATTTAAAAAATTACAATATTCACTAAATAGCACCTCCTCAATAAAGAACATCTCTCTAAAGAACATTTTGGTTCTGTAACTTGGGTGTTGTCTTTACAGAGAGGTAGTTCTACTGTTATGAAAATTAGAAACTATTATAGTCGCGTATGATTCTTTTGAAAATTAAACTATATAAACTGCCCTTAATGCGATGGAAAAATTAATGGGAGGGCCTGGCTCATCAGTGGTGAAGGCCCTCCCATTAATTCTTCCTTCGCAGTGAAGGCAATATAAATTGTTTAATTTTCAAAAGAATCATACGCGTCTATAATAGTTTCCAATTTTCATAACAGATGGCACGGTAATGCATCATAATATGGTAGTTCTACTGTACTGGGAAAATTGACACATCATTAAGGAATAGCTGCCATCTCTCCCACAAGAGCTAGTTAGGTAAAATAAATCACCTTGAAGGAGGTTAAGGGGATGTTGATGCTCTCAGAGAGCCTGCGACGGATGTCCCCCGCGGCAACAAACACGGGGTCCGCGCTGGTGCCGGAGTCCTGGGAGATGGTGTCCCGGTCCGGCTGGCGATGGCACTCCGGGAGTTCTGGGTCATCCTCCTCCTCCCCATCCTCCAGGCAGAAGTTCATGGTGAAGTAGTCCGGCAGGTTCTCCTCGCTGCGGGTCTGCCGCAGGTGGGCCGGCGCCATCTTGGGGGGCAGGGACCCCCCGCTGTTGCTGATGATCTCCACGTAGATCAGGTAGGGGGCCTTGTCCTTGCTGTTGAGCACGGCAGCCTCAGCTGGAGGGATCCTCACCACCACGTGGGGGTCCTCGCTCTTGAGGGGCAGCCAGACCCTGGCTGGGAGGTTGAGGTTGAGCATGGAGAGTTCGGCCTGCAGCCTCTGATCTGATACATCACAACATAACATGGATTGATTGGAGAATTACATTTTACATAAAATGGTGATAAAGCACAATTTGTTTTAGAACTACAAGAATATAAGGCCTAATCCAAATAAATTAATAGTGTGCGACGTATTCTTTTGTCTGATGATGTTAACAACGCTGTTACCGAAATGTCACACACAGTTTATTTATTTGGATTTGGTCTTATTACTTTGTGTTTCTAATCTATAATCCACACAAATTGTGCCTTATCATTGTATTTAAAAAGAAAAGTAAGTTTAAAAAAAAAAACTTATAATTATCAGGGAAAAAAAGGTGCTAAGTTGATGATGGTATTCAATACCATTGATCCCAAGTGATGTTGTTATAGCGAAGGTTTCCATTGTAGGTTTGACTCAGGGCACTCACTCTTGAGCTCCTTGGTGGGGGCCACCTGTAGACGGAGGCCGATGGAGATGAGGGCCCTCACAAATTCCTGCTCCGGTCCGAGCCGTGGAGCCTGGCAGCGACAGCCCTTCTGGCCTTCCCCTCCCTCCAGACAGCTGCAGCCGTTGTCGAAGGCATGGCCGGACGCCAAGTCTCCCAGCTTGTAGTGTTGGCCTGGTGGACTGGAGGTGTGCTGCCTCTTCCACACCCCTGCCTCAGATGAGAACCCTGCACACACACACAGATATGTTTGTTTCTCTTATAACAAATTCTAACTCATTTTTGACGCATTTAATTTTTTTTTTATAAAAATAATTTTCTCCTGCCCTTATACTGCAATCATAAAATAATGGAAGAGCCTGGCACAACCCTCCCAGTGGTTTTGCTAGTTTAATGTACCATACTGCTGTAATATTACACATTGGCATACACAGCAGTTTCTCTGTCATAACAAATTCAAACTCTTTTTGATGTATACGATTTTTTTTTTTTTTAACAATTTTCTCAAATGCCCTTATACTGCAATCATAAATTAATAGGAGGGCCTGGCTCATCAGTGGTGAACCCTCCCAGTTTAATGTACCATACTGCTGTAATATTGCACATTGGCACACACAGCAGTTTCTCTGTCATAACAAATT